GCAATGGAGGCACAGAGAGGTTAAGTAATTTTAAAAGATATGAAAAATTTTGAGGCATGGGTGGGATGTGTGTGTGTGTGTGTGTGTGTGTGTGTGTGTGTAGGGTGAGTGCCTAGTGTCCTGCCCAGGAAAGGGGGGAGAGGATATTTAACAAGTAGGACCTCAACACTAAAAAGAGCTCTTTCATCCAGAAAGCAGCCAAACCCATGGAAGTACTCTTTGGATCAACAGAATCCTAGCTCTGCTTTCAGATTCACCTAGAGGAAAGAAGTCTCTCTTATCCTTAAGCGTTCTTCAATTTAAAAAGTGGGGAGGGGAGAAGCCTCCTCTTCAATAAACTCTTCGCAGAGATACTTGGCCCGAAAACGGTTCAAAAAGGTCCTTGCAGAAGGTCCTCCTTTTCTTACCTCTCTCAGGCTTTGGACCTAGGGAAACCTTTTTTGCTTCCCACTGCAAGGGAGACTTAAGCCAAGCGGCAGCTGGCATCCTACTGGAGAAAAAGTGATCAGTGTAAGATAGACAAGAGATAAAGTTATAATAAATTGTTAGTGGTAGAACCTAGGTGGTGGGTGTAGAGGAATTTGCTGCAAAATTTTTTTTAACTTTGCTGAATATTGGAAGTGTTTCCATAATAAAATGTTGGGGAGAAGAATCAATGTTGCTCTTTGCCATGGGTGTATTTGCTTTTGAGGGTCTTGCTGCAGTTGATTTCCTGTCATGTGCTCTTTCCTGGGAGAACATTAAGACTATTTTCACACTTAACCCTGGCATCCTTCAAGCCGGGTAAGTATAACTGTGAGAAAAATTCCAGACATATGTCAGTACTGACCATTACTTAACTGAAGTGCACAGGAAGAATGAGCCTAGGATAATCGTTCCCAATCCTCAGCCGTGTACTAGGACTCCCTCACGCTTCCAACTCCCAAGCTCTCTCCATTTCCGGTATTGACCCTAAGTGATGAGATTTTGTGGCTCCCAGATCTGGCAGCAGCTGTTTGGCTCCCCGAGGACCCGATGTGACGTTGAGGGAGGGGACGGTTGCCAGGGTAGTCAGGGGAACCTAGGGACCCTGAGGGCTCTCCGGGAAGGCGACAACTCCCCCGCCCCGCGTAAGACGCTTCCCTTGCCCTTTATGATGTGTGTTTACATGGGCGGAGGGATCCCTCTCCAGCTGACAGCCACACCGCGGCCGGCTCTTCTTTTTTTAAAGAGCCTAGCCACAGCCAGCGATTGGCCGAGGCCGGGGCCGCATCAGCCTCCGGGGGCGGGGCCGGGGCCGCATTGTCTCGTCTGGGGCTGGCCGGACGCCCCAGAGGCCGGACCTGGGCAACCCCGGCTCCGAGGTCCCGGGGCTGGATCTCCCGGAGGCCTTGGGAGTGAGGTCTGGGCGGCGTCCGGTTTGGATTGCCCGGGGAGAGTGGGGTTGGAGCCCCGGCGGCCGGAGCGGAACCAAGCCCCGTTCCGAGTGCCACGTCTCCAGGAACCCCCTCCTTACTCTTGGACAACACTCCGCCCCACCCGGGCCTCCGTCCCCCAAACTACCCCTATTTGTGCAGCCCCAGAACCTTTGGACGCATCCCCAGGGGGCTCCATCCTCTTCCGCCCCCTCGGTCCCCAGGCCTCATTCCTCGAGTCTGCCCCGCCCCCGGCCTGCGCCCCAGATCTGCAGCCTTCGCCCCTAGATCCGCCCGCCCGGTGATGAGGCGCCCCCGCGTTCCTTCCGGTCTCAGCGACGGGACGACCACGCTCCAGGGTTGCAAACCAGGGGAGCGACTTTCTCCCTTCCCCTCCCACCTCCCGCCGCCAGACCCCCGCGCACTCCCGGGAGACGGGGCTCCGGGACAGAGGGCCGGCCAAGTCTCCCCAGCAGCCTGGGAGGGGGCGGCGGCCCGCGCAGCACGTAGCGCACGTGTAGGGGCCGCTCTCCACCCCCCTCCCCAGCCCGCGGCCTCCGACCACTCTCCCGAGCTCCGGGTGTCTGCGGTGCGCCTACCTTCCGCCCCGACCTCCTGTGTCTGGGCCCTCCCAGCACTGCACCCCTTCTCACACCACCCTCCCCTTCCCTGTTGATCCTCTTCTTTCTCCTTTCCCCCCCTAATTTCCCCAGCGCACGGGCCTTTCTTCAGCCTCTTCGCAGTTTGTCTGAGCTCCTCCGATTCAGTGCCATCATCTCTCTCTCCCACCACTTCTGGTGTCCTGGAATGTTTGGTATCAGATGTCCCCTGTGGAAACCCACAATCTATGAGATCTCGAGATGAGCTGCAGTCTCTTTGGCCTCCCTGTTTTATTTATTTCGTGTACTCCCACGGCGTCTCGTTACTACTCTCTATTACTGCAATCATAACTCGGTATTTGTCTTTTTAACACTGCCCTCTTCCCTTACACACGACTCTCCTCCAAACTGGAGCCGCTGGCGGGAAGGAGTAATGTCTCTAGCCTTGGCATCAGGCACGTGGTAGAAACTCCACAAATATTTGTTCAAGGGGAAGGGAAGTGGCCTTGAGTGTCTGTGGCTCCTACTGGCTGAGGATGGAGCTTTGGACAGGACAGGAGAAGCATCTGGCTGTCCAGGTGAAGCAGGAAGAGATCTCACAACAGATCAGTATGTGGGGGGTGGGGGAGCCCACCTAGTGGGATAAACCCACCTTCCCCCATTCCCTGCCAGGCCAGGCCCATTTCCCTGGAACCAGCAAACCCTCCTCCCTCTGCTAGACTTGTCTCTTGTGTGTTCCCTATTCTGCCCTACCCTCAGCTCTGCGGGCTGTCTTTTTCAGGGGATCAGCTCATCTCACACAAGGGTCTCATCTCTGGGCTTCTGTCCTTGGGAAGCTGGGTCTGGATCCTGGAGAGATATCTGGTAACTAAATACCTCTTCCTCCTCCCCATCTTTTCTTCCTCTCCAGTTCTGGGATCCCTTCTCAGCTAACTCAGACCACGGGGATCCAGGGTTCAGCGCTTTGGTTGACCCGGGAGTGGGGCCCCCTCCCCAGGGAGCCTCCAACAGACACCAGCAAGTGGGGCAGTTCCCACGGTGTGTGGCCAGCCCTGCCCATGGGGTGGGGAGGGGCAGAGTTACCTACACAGGGCTTCAGGGTGTTTCCTCCCTTTCTGGTTGGACCACTTTAGAGGCCCTAGACTCTTTCCCAGAGCAGCCTTGTGCAGATGAGAGAGAAGCTGAGAGGCAGAGAGGGAAACTCAAATTCTCTGTTCATCCTGGAGCGCAACCACCCCAACTAAGGTTTCTGGACCCGAGGCCCCCCTCTCAGCATGCTCTATGGCCTTGGATAGTTGGAATGTTTGGAATTCTCTGTGTCTGGGATGAAAGTCTTCTAACAGGAAGAAAATGGCTTCTACACTAATTATGTCCGAACTTCAGGAAACACTACTGAATCTACTATGCTCATTTGAAATTCGACTAAACCCGGCTGAGTGACCAACACAGGGTCAGACACACTAAACGCTAAATGCTAATTCTTTCTTCTCTCCCCTGGAAGGAAGGGGTGATACATGAACAACGAGAAATACTGTTCTAACATGAATAAGACAGGGTCAGTGGCTGGGAGTGATTCATAGTCTCTTAGACACATCAACACTATGGGGTAGGTGGGTTTTAGTGTCATTGCTTTTCAGATGGAGAAATTGAGACTCAGAAAAGTTAATTAGCCAAAGCCACACAGATAATAACAGTGTTAGGACTAGAATGATGATCCTAAAGCCTTTGATCATCCCCAAATACCAAGCTGATTTCTCTAAAGCTGAGACTCTCACACCAGCTGTCCCTTAACCTGCCAACACGTGTCCATTCTCTCCCCTAAGCCACAGTGGCTTCACACTTCTTGACTGTGAGCCCCAGTACTTTTGTTTATATACCAAAAGTTTCACAAAATAAAAGTTCCACAAAATAGTACTTGCCCTCACACAGTGATACACAAACATGCTGATTGAGACCCATGAAGCTGGTTTTATAAGCCATGATTGTGACCCTCAATTTGAAAAATGCTGGTCTGTAGTTTTTCCTGTAGTTTTGGGCAGCTTTTCAAGATGATCTAGACCAAGAAGTGAGTTTTCTCTACTCATACCCATATAATCTTGAATTTTGGAATTTTGGCCATTGCCCCTCCTCCTCCCCCATATCTTCTGTAAGTCCTCCAGAACATGGACCACATCATAGACAAAATCAGTCATCAGCTCTTTTCTGTTTGTTTTTCATTGGTTATTACTCACTTGTCTGAAATCCTCTAGTAATTTTCCTCCTGCCCCTGACCCACAGCACAACCCCAGGGATCACTTTGTGCCTCATCTTTTTAGCACTTTATCCCAAACAGGTGCCTGGTATAAAACCAGGATCTAGCATGACCTGACTTGGAGCAGTAGCCAAAGACTCAAATGCCTACAGGGGGCAAAGTAAATAAGCAAAGTCAGCCAGGTGGAGCCTGAAATAAGGAGAATGCATATCCAGCTACCTGGGCCCTGGGCCATCAGGCCAGGGTGGAAGTTAAGTTGCAAATTTTCAAGAGAAGCCAAAAGTCTAGGTTTTTTATACAAACTCCCCTATTTTGAATTTTTTTTTGAGATTAATTCATTTTTTGAGAGACAGAGCATGAGCATGAGCAGGAGAGGGGCAGAGAGAGACAATATACACACAGAATCCAATGCAGGCTCCAGGCTCTGAGCTGTCAGCACAGAGCCCGATGCAGGGCTTGAACCGTGAACTGCAGGATCATAACCTGAGCCAAAGTTGGACACTCAACCAACTGAGCCACCCAGGTGCCCCAAGCTCTCCTAGTTTTAAAATATTCAATCTTCAAACAAATTTTTAAAAAACAGTGTGTGGGCCAATCAAATAGGCTCGTGATCTGACTGTGTTCTGTGTGGAGCCACCTGCTCTGGAGAGGCTGCTGGGATGGTGAGCTTCAGACCTTCAGAACAATGGTTGCCAAGGGAGCACCAGCTGAGGCACGCAGCCAGAAATGCTGGAATGGAGGCTGGCTCCTGCTTCATCCCTACCCTGTGGGTCAGGTTCGGCCTCCTAAGCTTAAAGGAGAACTTTGACTTTCAGCAAAGTCCGGGGCCCACGCCGAGGGCATATGGTAGCAACAGGCACAGTGTCATAGATGGCCTACATAACTGCAATGTTGATGAGGGACCTGGAATGGGGAGTGTCAGTGCTTTTAAATATCCCCCCCCCTCTATTTTTTGCCTCCTCTAAAGCCCTCAAAGAAGTGGAAATCAAATGACAAGGTATGGAAAGGTTCTCAAAGTGCTGTGCATCAGTGCAAGAATCTAAAAGTAAAATTGGGGTGAAAGCTTAGGAATTAAAGTAAGACAGACCTCCAAGATATAAGGGAAAAGAAGACAGTGTTGTCATGGTTGAAAATGATGCTTGTCCCTTATAATAAAAAAGCTAACATGTATTGAATGCTTGCCGTGTGCTGCGCATTTCTGTGTGAATGATCTCTCAGAATCCTCATAAGAACCCTTGAGAATAGCCATCATTATTATCTTTGTCTTTCTAGATGAAGAACTGGGATTCAAAGAGTCTGAGTCATTTAGCCAAGGTCACATAGCCAAGAAGTTTAACAGAACCAGGTTCTGCCCAGGCTGTCTGAGTCCAGAATCTGTGTTCTTAACCATCACCCACATATTGCCCTCCTCTGGTGTACTACACAGTCCTTCTGGCACTGCTGTGTCCCTGACACCTAGCACAGGGTTTGTTGAAGAAACACATGGTCACTCACCATGATCACATAATGCCTGACAATGAGTGAGTTTATAAATACTTGTTGAGCATGTTCTCTGGGCCAATTACTATGCAAAGTGCTGTAGACATAGCATTGAATAAAATAAAGTCCCTGCCCTTCAAGGACTTATACTGTAGTCTAGTAGACAGAGACGGACAATAAGCACATACAGGTAAGAAGGATTTCTGGTAGAAATCAGTGCTAAGGAAAACAGGACAAATGATGGAGTGATGGGAGGCTGGGTGGGAGGCATGGTGAGTGGCTGCTTTAGACACAGTGGCCGCAGGCAGGAAGAATATTTGGGCTCAGATTGGAATATTGGGAAGAAGATGGCTCTTGGAAAGTCTACAGAGGATAGTTCCAAGAAGAGGAGTACCATGTACGGAGACCTGGGTCTGCAAACACCTTGGAATGTCCAAGGGACGATGCTCCTTCCTCCAAGAAAGCCAGTGGGTGGGGGGAGATGAAGTCAAAGAGGCAGGCAGAGGCTTAGATCAGGCAGGATGTTGTAGGCCATGGTCAGGAGTTTGGATTTCATCTTAGTTTCAATGACAAGCCGTTGGAGAATTATAGGTCAGGAAGGGATATCATTTGATTTACAATTTTAAAATGTTTTTCTGGCTGCCATGTGGAGAATAGATTGCTGGAGAACGAGGTGGAGGTGAGGAACCAATTAGAAGGTGTTTGCAATAGTCCAGGCAGGAGACGACTGTGGCCCAGACTCACATGGTAGCAGTAGAGGTGATGAGAAAAGGTCATGCTGTGGATAAATTTTGAAGGAAAAGGTAACAAGACTAATTAGATTGGATGTAGAGTGTTAAAGGGAGAGAGGCACCAAGGACGACTTTTAGATTTTTCCCCAAGTAAATGGGCAAATGGATTTCCTGAGATGGGAAAACTTGGGGAGGGAAAGATTGGGGATATACCAAGGGAGCCTGGGTGGCTCAGTCAGTTAAGCGTCTGACTTCGGCTCAAGTCATGATATTATGGTCTGTGGGTTTGAGACCTGCATCAGGCTCTGTGCTGACATCTCAGAGCCTGGAGCCTGCTTCGGATTCTGTGTCTCCCTCTCTCTCTGTCTCTCCTCAACCTGTGTTCTCTCTCAACAACAAATAAATCAACTTAAAAAAATTATTTAAAAAAAAAAGATTGGGGATGTATGAAGAATCTATGTTTCTGCTTTGGCTCTGTTAAAGCTAAGATCTCCATCCAAATGGAGATGTGCAATAGTCAGGTAATCTGGAGCTCAGGACAGGAGTCAGGACTGCAGATAAGATCTGCCCTGGGTCGTCCAAGTGTGTGTATATCTATGTATATACCCACAAGCTTATATATGTAAAAGCCTACAGATATGGAATATACACACAGATATTGTAGAGATAAAGATAGTTATACACACACATGCATATATAATGTATAGTACTTAAAACCACGGGACTGGGTTAAGATCACCCAAGGGGAGCATAGAGGAAGAAGAGAGCCAAGGACAGAGTCCAAGAATACTCCTCCATTTACAGGTTGGGAAGAGATGAGCCAGGAAAGAAACAGAAAGAATGGTCAGTGTGGGCAAGAATGATGTTAGAGAAGAAAGCGTGTCAAGGAGGAAGTAGTCAACCATGTCAAAATTTGCAGAGAGGTTGAGCAAGATGAGAAAAAATGTGAAGTGAAGTGGGGCTAAATGATAAAGACAATGCTTTCAAGGAGGCTGTGCTGGGGTTGCAGAGGAATGGGCAGAATTTGGACAGAACGTGAATTGAGAGAGGAATTTTGCTTTTTTTCCCCGTTGGAATACGGTAGAGTTCCCTGTCAAGATGATGGGAATGGTCCGGCAGAGAGGGAGAAGAGGGTAATGCAGAAGAGGAAGAGGGTCGTTGCAGGGGTGCAACACCTGAGCCGGTGACAGGGAGTAGGAGTCCGGGCACAACCCCCTGAGGGAGGAGAGTGTGGAGTTGAGGTTCAGGGAAGCGGAGGGCATGGTGGATCTCTTTTCTCTGTTAAAAGATGCTGACACTTCTTTGGAATGAATACTAATAGCTGCCAATAATTAAGCACACACCGCTCCTGTGTAAGGCCTCCACATGCGCTCCTCTCATGGTAGGGGAGTGGGTGGAGAGGACGCAAGAGTCACATCACAGAGGGAGCTTAGCTCAAAGCTGGAGCACTGGGGAGGCCTCAGTTTGCTCTACCCGGCCTCACCTTCTCTGCCATTATGCCTGAATGCCTGGCCCTCCACACCCCAGCTCCTCTTTTTCTCTCTCTCCTGACTCTTCCAGAAGTCTGTAGGACTCAGGGGGCTAACTGAGGGCAGCACTCTGGCTGTGACTGGGAAATGACACAGGAGGTACAGAGGAAGACTGAGCTACGGCTGTGGCAGTGAACTCCTTCAGCTGTTGTAGAGCCTTTTTAACCGGGATATGTATCCTTGTATTTATGTTCTAGGGAAGAGAAACCTATCTCTTTGACATCTAGTGAGTGGTTTGTATCTGAATCACCCAAGTGACTCAAAGTCCCAGATTCAGGAAACCAGGTAAGACAAGTTTATTCTGTGAAACCTTCCTACCATGTATAAGTTTTATTTTTATAACTCTTATCAAAGTTATATTTTAAGTTATTTTATAACTCTTATCAAAAAGCTAAATGGTTAAGGGAGAGAAGCATATTAATCTCTCTCAAAATGCTGCATGGGCAGGATCCATAAAACAGGGAGATTGGAGAATATTACAGCCTCAGGAGCACAGAAGTCATCAACTACAATTTCTTTTCGTTTGTGTACTGACGATACAGGAAAAGAGTCAAGAGTAGGTGATGAGGTTCATTAAAGCCTTTCCTCTGTTCATTTAGAAACAATCATGAAAATACATTCTCACTGGAGAAAAGGCACTAACAGAGGAAGAGAGCAGTAGACAAGTGCCTTTGAGGCTGAATAAGCCTGAAGTCCAAAGCTCAACATTCACGAAAGGATTTTTTTTTCATTCTAAGTTAACAGAGTCGTGTTCTGATCAAGGTATGTGAATGAGATTAAAGACTGGAATAAATGAAGGATATCTTTTATTAAAAAGTAAGAAAGGCACCACATTGCTTAGCATTTAGCCTTACTTTAAGTTCAGCTATTTTATTTATTTTGAGAGAGTGAGCAAGCAGGGGAGGGGCAAAGAGAGAAGAAAAGAGAGAAACCCAGGCAGGCTCTGCACTGACACCATAGAGCCCAATGCAGGACTCACTATGATCTGAGCCAAAATCAAGAGTTGGTTGCTTAACTGATTGAGCCACCCAGGTACCTGAGGTTCAGCTATTTTAATAAACTGTTTGACTTTTGTTTAAAAAAGCAAGGGTAGGTGGTGGCCATCTGTTTCCTAAGATAAAAGAGCCTCATCACTGAAGCCTCATCATTTTGAAAAGGGAAAACTGCAGGAAAGTTGAATCTCCAAACAAACCTATAAAGAGAAGGCAGCAAAGCACACCTGTACTGTGACCTTCCTTCTTTAAGTCAGAGAATAAGGCTATATTCTATCAGGTTCCCAGCTCAGATAAAAAGACAGGCTTTGGAAGTAACAATGATGAGGAGGAAGGATAGAATATGGGGGAATGTGAGGGGGAAAGTCCAGGGGAAAAGGAGAAGTTCTAGGCATGGATGGATGGAGAGAGTCCCCAGCTCCTGTACATGTTGACTTTTTGCTATAGGAACCATATCCCATCAGACACCATGCGGTGTTCCATCAGGCGTGGCATCATAACCTCAGTGGGCATCGGATTCCTGTGGTTCTTCATCACTTTGAAAGTCCCCAGGGAAATTGAAGATGATCAAAACATGATGGCTTTCAAAGGCCAAGTAGCAACCCCTGCTCTCAAGGTGGGAATTGAGGATGTAGGGTGGCAATGGTGGGGACAGGTAGATTCTCAAAGCACCTATACCTTTTCATCTGAGAGCAGGAAGCTCCAAAGGGAGTTGGGATATGAACCTGGACCCATCGGTCCATAAAGAAGCTGCTCCCCCAACCCTAATATTTATTAAGGTAAGGAAGAGAGCAAATAGTGCTCCAGCCCTTATTACTTTGGCCAGTGGTCAGACATCCTGAGAATGTGCTGGGCTCACTCTAGGGAGAGTGATCCATCCCTTGTCTTTCCTGGAAAAGCTTATGAGAAGCCTCTAGGGGGCTAAATCCTTTTCTCTTATGAAAGGAGGTACATGTTTTGCCTTTTGTCAATGATCTAGGAGGACAATTATGGCAAAAGAAGAGACCTGAGCCTGATGGAAGCCTGGCAGAATCATACCTTCCAGTATATTAAGACAATTCAGCAGAGAAGAAAGAGTGAGTTCCAAGGAGAGGAATGGGGTACCCTAGGGGAAGTAGGGACATCAGGAGAAGGTAGCTAGAAAGGAAAGAAGAAGGGAGAGGAAAGAAGGCAGGACTCCACCCAGGAATATTTGAATCTAGCGGACAGTTCAGGAATGAGGAAGAAGGAAAAAGATAATTGTTACAGGAAGGCAGAATCACTGGATTAGAGAACATTTCTATTAGAAGGGGTCTTAGAGTCATAGTTTAAATCCCTCAGTTTTGTGAATCAGTATCTAAGCTCAGGATTGAAGGGACTTTCTCAAGGTTACAGTCAGTGGCAGAACTGGGACAAGAACCTAGTCTCCTGACTTACGGAGAAGCTCTTTTCCTTTCACCTAAAGCTGAGCTTTGGGAAGATGAACTGGGTAAAACAGAAAGAATTGTAAAAACAATAATGTTAGCTAATACTTCCTGAGCACTTAAACCATGTGCTACAAAATTCTGGCTCAAAGAAGGCTCAAAGGGACCCACAGGGACTCAGCATCACCTAGTTTAGTGCTTCTCAGACTGTAATGTGCATATAAGGTACTTGGTGATACTGTTAAAATGCAGATTTCTTGGAACCCAGATTCTGCATTTCTGAGCTTCCAGATGAGATTGATGTTGTTGGACTAAGGACCACATTCTGAGAAGCAATGATCTAAACATCCCCTGTATCAAAAGGGAGCATAGGCGGGAACTAGGAGAGGGAAGAAAGGAACAGAGAAGGTCCTGAAGAGCATCCCAACCCTTAACCCTTTGACCACCTTCACTACCAACCCAACGTATGCTGACAATTATCCCTATTTTGCCTCTCCTTAGCATGGCTGACAGTGGGGATCTCCTCAGTGCCACGACCAGATCAAAGCAGCCTCTTGTACACCCTGGTCTCCCTGTTCCATGCTTCCTCTAAGACTGAGCAGAAACGTCTCACGGTCCTGATTCACCTGGCACATTCTGACCTCTCCTGGCTCAAAGAAACTGTTGCCCATATTTCAACCCTCTTCAGCACACAGATCTCAGCAGGGCAGTTGCTACTGATTCATGCTCCCTCTGATGCCTACCCCACCATGGATGCCATGAGGAAGAAGACCCACAATGGGGAATTCTACTCCAGGCAGAATATAGATCATGCCTTCCTCATGAGTTTTGCCGCAAAGCTCTCTGAATACTTCCTGTTATTGGAGGACAATGTCCATTGTGCCTCCAGCTTTATCACCCACATTCATCGGAAGGTGGACGCCATGAGGTCCAACCCCTGGGTGTTACTGGAGTTCTCTAATATGGGCTTCCTTGGCAAACTCTTCCACAGCAGGGACCTCCCACTTCTGGCTCATTTCCTCCTCCTCTTCTACAAGGAAAAGCCCCTTGATGGGCTGATCCCCCACTTCCGTACCCTCCTAGCTCAGAAAAACCCAATCCTCTGCAGACCGTTCCTTTTCTACAACAGGTTCTCCTACTATACCTCTAATGACAGCCAGAAGGCCACATCATTTCGGAAAAAGAACCCCTATGGTCCTGACAACCCACCTGCAGCCATTTTCACCAATATGAAGGTTTTTGATGTTCATTTCCCCTGGGAGGCCTACACTCTGGATGAGTCATTCTTCTGGACCCACGATGTTAGTGCAGGGAACCACCTGACAGTCATTTTGAACCATCCAGCGAATTTGAGCAGAGTGCAAGTGTTGACAGGCACCATTGTGGATGGAAAGCATGCCCTGGAGAAGGGGCAAGTGGAGCTGGGCTATGACCCTGAGGGAATGCCTCAATACTGTACCAGCTTTGCCTTGCTGGGCCACCTCTTGGAAGGGCAGATGAATCAGGAGATTCTCAACAGTATGGGGTACGATGTAAGCTGTGTAAGGCTGGTGGTGAAAGCTAATCAGGTTGGCGGTCTCATAATCAGGCATATTTACCTCTGGGAAGAAAATTCCAAATATATGGAAGCAGCTCAGAGTTGGATGTGAAAAATTAAAGTCTTGAAGCTGTTCCATTCGAGCCTCTCTGAGTGATGTGGGGAGACAGATGCCAGGGAATAAGGGGCAGAGACAGAAGACTCTATGATGCTTTTGGTGCCACCATGATGTTAAGAGACCTGTTCCTTTTTCTACCCAAACCAGTGATTCTTTTTTTTTTTATAAAACTTTTTATGTTTATTTATTTATTATTTTAAGTAGGCTCCACACCCAACGTGGGGCTTGAACTCATGAGCCTGAGATCAAGCGTTGCATGCTCTACTGACTGAGCCAGCTAGGTGCCCTATAAGGTGATTCTTATAGGTTATCTTTATCTGGGAGCAGATACAGCTTTAGCCCAACTTGGGGAGTGGTGTTGGTCACTCCCAGAATCTTTAGATTTTGGGAATGCTGAGATGAGCACAGAATACTTGTGTGTGCATATAAATACATATATTGAAATATAGTCAGAGGTGGGGAGATATAATGTAGTAGTAGGAGGGTAAATGGGGAAATCATGGGGTGTCCCTAAAATTGATACCATAAGTAGCCAAGAAAGTGACCCTCATTAGAAGTCAAATTCTCTGGAGGCGCCTGGGTGACTCAGTCGGTTAAGTGTTGGATTCTTGATTTTGGCTTAGGTCATGATCTCACGATTCATGAGTTCAAGCCCCGTGTCAGGCTCTGTGTTGACTGTGCAGAGACTGAGTGGGATTCTCTTTTTCCCTCTCTGCCCCTCCCCTCCTCGTGCTCTCTCTTTCTCTCAGAATAAATAAATAAACATTTTAAAAAAGAAGTTAAATTCTCTGAAATTCAGGAAAGCAGCAGATGGACTGATAGCAATAAAACTAAGCCCTTAACTCTATCCTTTAAGCTGTTTCATAGTGCCCGTCTAGTTTCTTCCTCTCCTCACAAATTTGGACATAAATAGTTTGTAACTAAAACTCTACTTTCTCATCAGCAATTCACTCCTTAACTCCCCCACTGGTGTCTACATCCACAAAGCTACTGAAACTCTTCACTATTTGTAATGACAAAAATAGTCAAAACCCAACTGCATTTTTCAGAGCTCATTCCCTTTTACTCTCTGTAGCCATATACAATATTAACTAGTGTTTCTTCTAGAAACAGGCTTCTTCCTTGACCTCTGGTATTTATCCATTCATCAGTTATTTATTGAATGCCTACTATGTGCGAGGAACATAAGAAAGCCCCTGTGGGTTTAAGTACATGGTCTTCTGGAAACACAGACCTGCTCTTTCTAAAACATTTTTGGGGGCTTAGGAAAAGCTTCTTGGAAAATACAATATCTAAGCCTAGACCTGCCAGATAATTAAAGAAGATAGCCAGGTAATGTGGGAAGAAGGTCAGGGAGATTTTCTAGTGAAAGAAACAGCATGCTGAGAAGTAGGCCAGAGGTGAGAAAGAACATGGTTCATTTGGGAAAACACAAATCATTTAGTGGGACAGGAGATGGAGGGCAAGCTGGAGGAAGGATGGGGCAGAAGATGAAGCCACAGGATTGAGAGAGGACCAGCTTAAGAAGAGCCACAGACAATTCAATGTGGGAAAGAGCAGTCCTTTCAACAAATGGTGTTGGAATAACTGAATATCTACATGCAAAAGAATGAAGTGGGACTTCCAACCTTACACCATATAAAAAATTGACTCAAAATGGATCATAGACCTAATGTAAGAGCAAAAGCTATAAAATTCATAGAAGAAAATATAAGGTGTAAATCACTGTGACCTTGGATAGGCAACAGTATATTAAGATATGACACTGAAAGCATCAGCAATCAAAGAATAGATAAATCGGACTTCACCAAAATTAAAAACTTCTGTGCTTCACAGGACACTATCAAGACAGTGACAAGATAACACACAAAATGGAATATTTGCAAATCATATACCCAATAAGAGACATATTCAGAATATTATAAAGAAGTCTTACACTCAATGATTTTTTTTTTATTTTTTTTTATTTTTTATTTTTTTACAAATAGTTTATTGTTACACTCAATGATTTTTAAAAAACCCTGAATAACCCATTAAAGATGGGCAAAGGATATAAACAGAGATTTCTCCAAAGAAGCTGTATAAATGGCCAATAAGTACATGAAAAGATGCTCATCAGGGCACCTGGCTGGCTCAGTCGGTTGAGTGTCTGGATTCAGCTCAGGTCATGATCTCATGGTTTGTGAATTTGAGCCCTACATCAGGCTCTGTGCTGACAGTGCAGAGCCCGCTACAGGTCCTGTCTTCTGTCTCCCTCTCTCTCTGCCCCTCACCCACATTGTCTCTCTCTCTCTCTTAAAAAAAAAAAAAAGAAGTTCATTATTAGTTATTAGGGAAATGCAAATCAAAACCACAATGAAATAACACTTCACACCCACTATTAAGGCTCTAATTTTAAAAAACAATGGAGAATAAATGTTGGTGAGGATTTAGAGAAATTGGGACCCACATACATTGCTGGTGGGGTTGTGAAATGGTGCAGCTACTTTGAGAAAGTTCCTCAAAATGTTAAACAGATAACTATCTGATCCAGCAATTCCATTCCTAAGTCTATACTCAAGAAAATGAAATATACACCCATGCCAACACTTATACATGAATGTTCATAGCAGTATTATAATAACCAAAAAGTGAGAATAATCTACATGCCCAACAGAGGAATGGATATGCAGAATGTGGTGTAACCATATAATGAAATATCAGTTGACTACAAAAGGAATGGAAGAGTACTGACATGCTACAGCACATAGGAACCATTATGCTACATGAAAGAAAGTGCTCACAAGAGGCCACATATTATATGATTTCATTTATAGGAAATGACCGGACTAAGCGAATCCATAGAAATAAAAGTAGATTAGTAGCCAGGGGCTGGGGAAAACGGAAATGGAAAATGACTTATAATGGACATGGGGTCCTTTTGTGGGTGATGAAAATGTCCTAAAATTAGGGGCTCCTGGCTGGCTCATTTGGTGGAGCGAGATTGTGAGTTCAAGCCCCATACCAGGTGTAGAGATTACTTGAAAATAAAATCTTAAGAAAAAAAAATGTTCTAAAATTGTGGTAATGGTTGCACAACTTTGTGACTATTGAATTGTGTACCTTAAAAATAAATGTTATAGCATGTGAATTATATCCCAATAAAGCAGTTATTAAAAAAAAAAAAGCTGGGGCACCTGGGTGGCTCATTCAGTTAAGTGTCCAACTTCGGCTCAGGCCAGGATCTACGGTTCATGAGTTCAGGCCTCATGTCGGGCTCTGTGCTGACAGCTCAGAAACTGGAGCCTGCTTCAGATTCTGTGTCTCCCTCTCTCTCTGCCCCTCTGCTCATGCTCTGTCTCCCTCTGTCTCTCAAAAATAAACATTAAAAAATTATTTATTTATTTTAAAAATTTTTAATTTTTTAAAAATTTCTGAGACTGAGAGAGAGACAGTGTGAGCAGCGGAAGATCAGAGAGAGAGGGAGATACAGAATCCAAAGCAGGCTCCAGGCTCTGAGCTAGCTGTCAGCACAGAGCCCGACGCGGGGCTCAACCCCATGAACTGTGAGATCATGACCTGAGCCGAAGTCAGATGCTCAACTGAGCCACCCAGGCACCCCTAAAAAGAATTTTTTTAACTTAAAAAAAAATAAAAGCTGTAAAAACAAACTAAGGGGTTTAGACTATCCTGATGGCAATAGGGAATCATTGAACAGTTTTAGCCAGGAGAGTGAAATGACCTGTGTGTTGTGCTTTGGGAAGATCACTATGGATGTCTTGTGCAGACTGGTCTGAAGGGAGTCAGGATGAGGTATCCAACTAGAATTAAACAAGAGAATATATACAAAATGTCTATCTCAGTACCTGGAGTATAATTGATAATAAATGACATTTTCTGGGGCCCCTGGGTGGCTCAGTTGGTTGAGTGTCCAGCTCTTGGTTTTGGCTTGGGTCACGATCCCAGGATTGTAGGATTGAGCACTGTGTCGGGCTCTGTGCTGACAGTGTGGATCCTGCCTGGGATTCTTTCCCTCCCTTTCCCTCTGTCCCTCCCCTGCTCCTGTGCGTTCTCTCTCTCGCTCAAAATAAATAAACTTAAAATAAGATAAAATGACATTTCCCACTTCCCTTATGTTTCTCCCTTTTCCCCTTCTCTTTCCCACCTTTCTTTCATAAATTCTACATCAATCTATATTTCCACATGCCTCTCTGACTAATGATCTCTTGTCATTGACACTGCTTTCTTCACCCATCCCTAAACATGGGGATATTCTAAGACTCTTCACTCTTTTTTTTATGTTTATTTTTTGAGAGAGAAAGAGAGAGAGGGACAAAGAGTGTGAGCAGAGGAGAGGCAGAGAGAGAGAGAGGGAGAGAGAGAATCCCAAGCAGTCTCCATGCTGTCAGCACAGAGACCAACGTGGGGCTGGATCTCACGAACTGTGAGATCATGACCTGAGCCAAAATTAAGATTTGGATATTTAACCGACTGAGCCACCCAAGCACCCCAAGGCCCTTAGTCTTATGCATCTATATCTTCTTCAATTGCTCAAACACTCTCAGAGTCACGTGAATGAACTTTCAGGTACTACCTAAGTCAGCATCATGCTCTGAGGTCTCCAATCTGAGCCTCAGTGTCTTCTCTTCAGCTGATGATGGACACCCTCCATTTGGCTCTTCCACTATCGTCTCAAGCTCAACATGTCTAATACCAAATTCTTAAGCTTGTTACAAAAGTCAGTGCACCCTTCCAGACATTTCTACTTCTGGCCATAGTTACCTTACATCCATAACTCAAAATCTTACAACAGTGCTTTTATTTTATTTTTTAAATTTTTTTAATGTTTTATTTATTTCTAGGAGAGAGAGAGAGAGACAGCATGAGCAGGGGAGGGTCAGAGAGAGAGAGGGAGATACAGACTCTGAAACAGGCTCCAGGCTCTGAGCTGGCAGTCAGCACAGAGCCCGACGTGGGGCTCAAACCCACGAACCGCGAGATCATGACCTAAGCGAAAGTCGGATGCTTAACCGACTAAGCC